AGGAGCTCCCACCATCCCTGTGCTGAGTTCCTGGGTCTGACCCCCGCTGTGCCCATTATGAGGAGCTCCCACCATCCCTGTGCTGAGTTCCTGGGTCTGACCCCCGCTGTGCCCATTATGAGGAGCTCCCACCATCCCTGTGCTGAGTTCCTGGGTCTGACCCCCGCTGTGCCCATTATGAGGAGCTCCCACCATCCCTGTGCTGAGTTCCTGGGTCTGACCCCCGCTGTGCCCATTATGAGGAGCTCCCACCATCCCTGTGCTGAGTTCCTGGGTCTGACCCCCGCTGTGCCCATTATGAGGAGCTCCCACCATCCCTGTGCTGAGTTCCTGGGTCTGACCCCCGCTGTGCCCATTATGAGGAGCTCCCACCATCCCTGTGCTGAGTTCCTGGGTCTGACCCCCGCTGTGCCCATTATGAGGAGCTCCCACCATCCCTGTGCTGAGTTCCTGGGTCTGACCCCCGCTGTGCCCATTATGAGGAGCTCCCACCATCCCTGTGCTGAGTTCCTGGGTCTGACCCCCGCTGTGCCCATTATGAGGAGCTCCCACCATCCCTGTGCTGAGTTCCTGGGTCTGACCCCCGCTGTGCCCATTATGAGGAGCTCCCACCATCCCTGTGCTGAGTTCCTGGGTCTGACCCCCGCTGTGCCCATTATGAGGAGCTCCCACCATCCCTGTGCTGAGTTCCTGGGTCTGACCCCCGCTGTGCCCATTATGAGGAGCTCCCACCATCCCTGTGCTGAGTTCCTGGGTCTGACCCCCGCTGTGCCCATTATGAGGAGCTCCCACCATCCCTGTGCTGAGTTCCTGGGTCTGACCCCCGCTGTGCCCATTATGAGGAGCTCCCACCATCCCTGTGCTGAGTTCCTGGGTCTGACCCCCGCTGTGCCCATTATGAGGAGCTCCCACCATCCCTGTGCTGAGTTCCTGGGTCTGACCCCCGCTGTGCCCATTATGAGGAGCTCCCACCATCCCTGTGCTGAGTTCCTGGGTCTGACCCCCGCTGTGCCCATTATGAGGAGCTCCCACCATCCCTGTGCTACATTTTGTACTTATTTTATATCATGGACATGGAGAAGGTTACTGAGGAGCCGGAACATTGTTCCTACAGATGACAATCATTGTTTTGTATTTATAGTTTTTGTATTTATTTTTGTCTCATTCTCGGTGGTGTTGATACATTGTCTGTCGGTCTGTCGCCTCGGAAGGTGTTTTTGTTCTTTTATTGGCTTCTATCACTGACACAGATCCGCCCAGCTGCGTGAGTGACAGCTGGCTCTGCCTATCTAGAGGCAGAGCTAGCTGTACCCGCCCCCTCCCCCGTCCGTTCCGCCAGTCAGCGCTGGCAGATCGGAGCGGGGAGGGGGAATCCAGCCACTCCCCTGTCACGGCAGCGAGCTGTGACAGGATCGAGAGGTGAGCGAATGCCGGTATGTGTTCGCTCACCTCCCGATCTACTGAGCCGACCTGTGACAGCCTCATTGTCACAGGTCGGCTAGAACTATGAGGTGAGTGAAAAGCACCCCACCCCCCCTCATAGTTCTCCTTTAACTGCTAAATGTGTTTCTGTTGACCCATCTTATTAACCGTCAGGTTATGGCAGAGGTGGGCCCTCCGGCTGTGCTTTAACTACAAATCCCGACATCCCTGCGCCCCTGGGGGTCGTGGCTGTCAGTCTTGAAATGCCTCATGGGACTCGGAGTTCCACAACAGCTGGAGTGCCCAGGTTGCCCACCCCTGACTTAGCATGTGCGGACTGAATATGAAAACATATGTCTGAAGACAGGTCCTCTTTTATGAGCCTCAATATATGGGGATTCCACACCCCCATTGCATCTGCTGGCCTAAGTGCTTGCCGGAGTTTAAATGGACGTTGAATTCAGTCGCATTGGGTCAGCCTCCCCCTCTCCGCCCCCCCC